GAGTCCTCTACATCCATGAATGAATTGATTGATGTTAAGGACAGCAGATGGGGCGTATACGCCCGGGAGGCTAGGCTATTGCTGAGAATGAAATGCACACGGAGATAATTGTTAGCTGTGGTCCCACACGCCGGGGAGAAAAAGTGTAAACGACTGAGGCTCACATGCGTCACCGCTACTAGAACTGAGGCAGAATGAGTGACAAGCGATTGCAGTAGTAATTGGTAGTGAGTAGATAAGAGGATGTGCGTAGAGTATCATGAGTCGGTGCTATGGTCACGTTGCATTCTGCATGAGTCATTCTAGTAAGTGGCGATTGTGTTGCAAGATGTCAAGAGGAGGTCTCCATCCGGAGGCGCAGGTCGTCAGCGATGTGTGAGATTGTGTTGTGGGTATGCTTGTGGTGTGTTGGCTTTCCTGTTTGTTTTCCATTTCAGCTCTGTCCGTGTGACCCAGGTTCTCGCAATGGCATCCAAGTCAACGTGTATTGGTCGTGAAGGAAAAAAGGCATGGATCCCTTTTTTGCCGGGGAGTGTCGATGGAGTTGAAGATTGAACGATCAATTCTTGGTTGTTTGCTCAAAATCAACTTCCCCAATTTTCGCGGACGAATCAATACGACAGTCATCGTCTCATCGGTCGCTGTTCAGAAAGAAGTCAGCAGTAAACCATCAGAAGTAATATTGTGATTTATTATTGTAATATTTGTTCACAGACCTTAGTTCAAATATTATTTTTATATGTTGGTGTAACAATAAAGAATTCTCAAGCGGCCAATCGGTCTTTTGGTTTTTTCGTCCGTTATAACTAAGCGTTTCTGAAAAACCGCAAGGAACAGCGTGGGCCCGAGCGTAGCAATAGCTGGGCATTAACGGTTTAGGAGACGTGGCTGACAGTACTCCTTTACCTCGCTAAGCCAGAAACAATGCTAGTAAAGAGGAAAGATTTGGCATGAGGCTAGCAACCTCATCCCCTAAAAATTAAACACTGCTACAGAAACTTCAAGCAAATAGCTTGAGGTCCTATTTTCCACTGAAAACGCGAAGGAAAAAATGACAAAATGGTTGACATATAATAAAGGTAATAAGGGAGTACAGTAAACTCAATGAAAAAGAATATGTCGCTGCTGAACACCACCTTATAATAGACCAGGGTAACAAAGATGGTGGATGTACTTCTTTTTTACACATAGGTCCGGTTTTTCCTCAGTAATCTCCATAGCTTCCACTACAGTTAAGATATGTAACTGTGGGCCTTTAAGCAGATTGTTTAGTACCGTAAATGACTCATCTGTTTTTTTGGTGTGGTGATCACTATCTACCACTAGACGCGACAAAATGTCAGTATTTATTGATTTGGTGACACTTTTTCCATGCCAGACAAGAACATGTTCACAAGCATATAAAGAAAATTTCTACTGAGTGAATTAAATGAATGGATATTAAGTTGGTATTATCGGAAAGAAGATTATATATGATAGTAACAGATATCTAACCTACGTCAAGTTAGCTTACTGTCATTGTTCTATTACATTGCCTTATATATATCTTGTGTATTTGAATAAGTATAAATATGCCTAATCCGTGAATACAACTATTCCCACTCTATTAAACCGAGGTAAAGGAGTGCGTCGGCTAAGATCGAAGGTCGCACCACCAGCGTGGTTGGTGTGCGTTCTACAGGTGTGCCACCTATTCACTAGATACTATGGTCATAGACATTCATTTTAACTATGGATTGTTACCTTCTCGAAAATTATGCTGAAAGAGTGAGAATGGAGAATCATCCTCAGAATTCTGCGCTTTCAATCATTTCGTGATCGGAGGCAGCGTGTACAAACACAAGGATATGCACAAAGCAACATGAATTTAACCTGATGGGCACACCAGATAGACTTCATCTCACTGCTGCTCAAGGAAGTGGAGACACATCCAGTTTGCTGAACACGAAGTCTAGAAGGAGGGCAGATGTCGGCTTAGACCACTATCTACTTCTAGTAACCTTCAAGTTGAAGCGCAAATCCCTTAAACGAACTGGAGACAGGCCACTCCAATTAAAGTTCATCATTCAGAAACTGAAGGAAAAAACTACAAGAGATGCCTTCACCGCAGATCACATCAGAGCGAAGTCGGAGACACTACGTAGTATCGCAGAGGAAACCTGCGTGGAAGAACAACTGAACTCTCTGAAGGTGATATTCAAGGAAACGTGAACAACTGTTCTAGGAGGAAAGAACAGATATGACAAGGAATGGCTCCCAACGGACACCTACCTAGAAGTTAAAGGAATAGAGAAGGGGAGGACGGTGAGAGGGAAGGTGACTCAAAGCAAAGATGCACAACAGGAAAAAGAGAAGCTGATTTTAACTTGAACTTCACTGAATAAAGAAAGAAGTGAACAAAAGTGCTCGGGAAGACAAAAGACAATTCAACGGCACCTTAGGCGGTAACTGAGACAAAACAGGCAGGTCAGAGGTAAAAGAGAACTGAGAACATTACATCAGATAACCAGGCTGCTCCCCATCCGAGAAAAGATCAACCCAGATGATGAAATCCATAACCTGATTACCAAGGGGCATAAACAAATTGAACAATGGGCTGATCACTTTAAAGGATTCTTGGATCGGCCATCACCTGCGACTCGTCCAGAAATACACCACCACTGAAAGCATGCACAGAACTGCCTGCCAGTGAACACCGCTCCTCCAACCAAGGCAGAAATGCTAAATGCGATCAAGCTAGTAAATGTCAGCTGGTAAGGCAGCAGGAGCAGACGAGTTTCCCCGATGCATTGAAAACAGTTTCAGAAATTGTGGCTGATGTTCTCACGCCATTACTGCAAAAGGTACCTACCGGTTAGAAGAAAGGCTCAATACCTCGTGAAGCTGCGAAGGAGGGGCAACGTATGTCTCTTTGATAACTGGCTTATAATAATGCTCTTGCCCACGCCAAGTAAAATACCGAGTCACATCATCCTGAAGAAAAAAGGACACAATAGTTGTAGAACTCCGCCCCACAAGAACGAGCTGGATTCAGAAAAGGCAAATCATGTTCTGGTCAAATCACAAATTCATTCATCATCATCGAACAAAGCCTAGGATGGCAGTCAAACCTCTATCTACCTCAAAATCGTCTGCTTCGAAGAGATCTTTACCAGAGAGCATTGACGCCGACGTAATTTGTAACTACTCTAACATATGGCGTTTAGTGCCTTAGTCTTTATCAACCCCGCATAACAGCTGGCTATACGACAATGTCACGAGCCAGGTGATCCACAACGGAAAAGTCAGCGAAGAGTTCGAAGTGAACACAGGAGTTAGACAAACTAGCTGTCTATTATCACCCAAGATGATATTCTTAACTGTGGTGGACTGGATTATGCGTCAGACTGTGCTTGGGAACAAAGAAACAGAAGTACGTTCGTCCACTGACGAGAAGACTGTAGGAGATCTGGATTTCACGATTAATTTGTCTCATGTCGCAGAAACTGGAAGACCGATAGGCGAAAAGTAACACTGTCTGAAGAAGTAGCCCGCAAAGACAGGATCGCAGGTGAAGTTAATGAAGGTAACCAAGAAACCCCAGCAGCAGCAACAACCAACGCCAACCACCATCAAAGAAAGAGATTTGACAGAGGCTACTTCCTGATTCCCATTATCAAGGAAGCATTGTTTCAACCACAGGGAGTCGGAAAGGATGACACAGTCAAAATGGGAAAGACGTGATATGCCTTCGTCAGCCTGAAACCAACTGTAGGTCTTCTGCGCTCAGCACAGGGAACAAGATTCAGACTTTGAATACGCATGTCATGTTAGTCTTTCTTAGCGGGTTAGAAACTTGCATTGCGTGCCATGACAAGGATTTCCAGCACGCCACTGAAAACTTTCATCAATAGCTGCCTCCACTGGCTCCGTACCGAAGATCAAATGGCCAGCCAGGTGGAATTAGTAACTCCGGCTGAGAACATACCAACCAAGAGGCGACCGCCCAACATATATGTAGGCGGAAAAGGAGATGGGTCGGGCATACGTTGTAGAGACCGTCAAATAACTTTGTGAGCAATACATGCAATTACTTGAGTGTAATCCAAATGGGAAGTGACCAACAAGTCGTCGGTGCTATGGCTACGTGGAGGAGATCGTGTGAGGAAGAGATGAGAGATCGTGGCAATCGTGGACGCAGTAGAAGAGGATGACAGAAAATAAAACAAAGCGGAGATGTGTTATTGAAGTCCACTTGGAATCCAGAGGAACAAAAGTAATAAGATTATTTAACTCTAAAGAACAAAACTCTTAGTATTAGATGGTCGGAGGCAATCGGCAGGAAGCCTTGGATCTAGGTTTCGTGCTAGTTGGCACTCATCAGCAAGGCGTATCTGCATATTTGAAGGAACTGCAAGCTTGACTGATTGAATTCAGTCTGCAGCGAAGATAGGACTAGACACTAGTTACTGACTAGTGTGCAATCAAAAAAAGAACAAAACTGTGGCAAAATGTTTTCAGTGTCACCATAAACTTTCACCTCATATGTATTCACTTTCACTTACCTGGTCACATATTTTTATCGGTTTGTCCGTTGTCGCTGATTATTTTTCGTCTGGCTGTGTCGTTCTTATTCATTCAAATTATTTTCCCCTTCTTTTCGAGCAAAAGCCCGTCAACACCACAATTGCTTGCCTTGTTAATGGCAATAATTCAGATAGTGTCAAAAGCTCCTCAGTTCACAAAATCGCTATGAAACATGGTTTTGTCGAAATAAAAATGAACTGCTAAATAAATGGCAGTACTAGAAATAGCAGAAGAGTGAAAATGAGGTCACACAGTAACATGGGTATCCTGTTATACTCATGGGGAGAACAGCTGATCGCAAACATCATCGATCAACAAACAATATTGTCATTCTGTGTTATGAGATGCTTCAATGAACATAAACTATATAACGTTACGGGAGTTTAATGTGGAAATCGGTTATGTTTTACGTATTTCAAGCTATTAGGGACGTAGATTTATTTTCTCACATAAAGAAATGAAAGCGGTTGTATTGGGCACTAATGCATTGTATATTGGCGCGAAAACAAACGAGTGTGCTTCGTCATGGCTTTATCAGAATTAACGCGCTTTGAGGTTCTAAATAGGTTTCAGGATGAATACCCATATAAAGACCTATCTGTACACTTATCAGAACTTGATCTAGACAGAAGTCGAAAGTCTGAGGTACTTAGCTGATCATGTAATATACATTTTCAGAGTTACATAAAACCGATTGAACACGGACTTCAATGTGGTGAAACGAAAATTCACTTTCTTCATGGGACCACTACTCTCGCCTTCAAATATTCTGGCGGAGTAATTGTCGCAACAGATTCACGTGCAACTGCTGGAAGCTACATTGGTGAGTTCACCCAGGATTGCTTCATCACTACATGCCTTAGCTTCTGGAACCACAAAGAAAATAATTGAAATTGACAAATTCTTACTCGGAACTATGGCTGGTGGTGCTGCAGATTGTCAATTTTGGGAGCGCGTTCTGACAAAGCATTGCAGGTACTTCGCGGCTCTTGTCGTATTCGTAGATTATTTGAATTGAGGAATAAGGAAAGGATATCTGTTGCAGCTGCGTCTAAGCTGTTAGCGAACATGATTTATAACTATAAAGGGATGGGTTTGAGTATCGGCACAACGATTGTCGGTTGGGATAAAAATGGACCGGGTGTTTACTACGTTGATACAGATGGAAACAGGACTTCTGGAAACCTATTTTCTGTGGGATCAGGTAGTCCTTACGCCTATGGTGTTTTGGATACTAAGTATAAGTACGAAATGAACGATGAAGAGGCCTACGAACTCGCTAAGCGATCAATATTTCATGCTACTCATCGTGATGCTGCATCTGGTGGATTTGTTAACCGTGAGTCCCTGTACATATATTATTTATTTGTTCCCTAGTGTATCACATGAAGGAGGATGGGTGGAAGTTCATTGGAATTTTCGACGTCGGAGAACTTTACTACAAATATATGTCGAAATAAATTTTAAAACCATAATAAATTTTTGCTGTATACCTGTCTTTTAAGTCACAAACAAATGTTTTTCGTTTCAGAACCTCAGAAGAGTAATTGAAAGTCGTGTTTCAGGTATTTGGTTGACTATTTCGTTGCTTTAGTATGTGTCTGTGGATATCTCATTTACTGTGTTACTACACATTTTCTTTTGGCCCGATATTCTTCGAAAAGATGTAAAAAATAAACATGAGGCACGAGCTGGGGTTAGTGTAATGGTCTTCGCCAATACTCATCTTGGATATGTTCTGGGTCATCCTATTGATCGTATCAGAAGGTTTGGATTGTTTTTACTTGTTTATATGCAATCAGTTGTTAGTGTTCAGTGTAAGAATACTTTTAATAGATGCTTGTGCATTAAAATAGTATATAATTGAAACTTTTAATCTGCTTCTAAAGTAAATTTTGTAGGCGTGAAATGAACTTACATGTTTGGTGTGTTTTCAGTCAAGTGGCAGCTAACAGTGTGCGTCTAGGTGTATTGTTATATGGAATTTCCTGCTGGAATGAATTGTATATATCAGGATGATTGTTCCTAAAGTTGCCAACATGTTAGCCGGATTGCTACTTGACTAAGAAATAGTAGTTATAATATGAACTAATTGTTAATGTATCTGGCGTTCTGCACTGTGTGTATGTATGGTAGTAATCCTGTGTTTTCCTCAGATAACTGTAAGGCCACTTACGTGTTGGCTTCGATTGAGGAGATGAAGGATGACGACAGACTAGCTAAAAATACATTAGATTTATCAATAGTGGGTAGTTTACACATGAAACCCTTCAATAGGCCACGCGTCACCGGCAGACGTCTGTGTTGAATATGTATGCACAATATAAATAGTAATGTTGTATGGCTGCAAGACGCCTCTGTAGTTTGCATCTCTTAATGTTCGCTACTCTCAGCTTCCTCCGTGATGTCTTGAGTCAATTTTCTGCTTCGTTGATGTTTTCTGTCATATTGGTTTATTCACATCTTGCAGCATGAATATGTAGTCTGTTTGTGTGACATGGTGCGCATGTATCGTCATTCACTCTATTACACCTACTCAGAGTACTGACACTCCTCACGCTTAGTTTTTTAAGGTGTGAAATATCCTTTTCTTCATACAACACTTTCTCAACTGATGAGTTGTGAAGCAACTGTCCATGAGGATTGTTTGTTGCGTCAGAAATTATCAGCTGTCATTAATTTTCCGGTCAGCAGTAATTTCACATTCAAAGAAAAACCTTGTCGAACACATGAAGTAAATCCAACTCCATACAAATCACATATAGACCATGGTGCGATGACAGATTACTAATATTAATCAGCAAGTGCACTTGAGAGACGCAGTTCTACAGTGACCATGTGTTTAATTTACTGTATGGACACGGCGAGAATAGGAGGCCATATTGGGGTTAGTTCGATAAGATCTATAGATTATGACCGCTTGTCGTGAAACAGCTTGTCATAATGAGTTCGCTTAGAATACAATGATAGGTTTTTTTGCCGAAAGACCATATATCCAGTTCAAGTTCATGATGGGGTTTTGCGTCTACTGGTTATATGTTTTCGCGAATTCGTTTGCCATCGAAATTTAAAGGTTTTTATGGACGTTTTGACTTTTAATAGTGTTGAGGTGAATTTTTCTCACCGGATGCTACTATGAAGCTTATTTTTAGTCTGAAGTTTCCAGTTATTGAGTTGGTAGTTAACGGTTATGGTAAACCTGCAATCTTTGAGCTAATTCAAGTATACTATGCTAATATAGTAACATTCTTTAGTAAGTAAACTCCGTAACTGTTCTGCAATTGTTCGGATTGGGTCCGTTAAAAGAAGAAAAGACGGCGCTACCCGTCGTTGCTCTTTCGTAGTCTCTGCTTACGCCTCAACAGACTGCAGTTCGGATGATCTAAAGGATGACTTCTACCAGAAACTGTCTAATTTGCTGCAAAAAGCAAAGCGTTCAGATATAGTTGTTTTAGCAGGCGACTTCAATGCTCAAGTAGGGAATTTGTGCCAGACTGAGAAGTATGTAGGTGGAGTTCCCTGCCGACGAACCGACAACGGTGACCGTCTTCTACAGTTTTGCTCGGATAATCATCTGTTCCTAGTCAGCACTAACTTTAAGCACAAAGTGAGACACTGCGTAACATGGTGATCTCCATCACCAAATCAACATTGAACTCAGAGAGACTACATAGAGATAGGGTATCGTTGGCGACGGTCAGTAGAAGAGCAGTTTAATTGGCCCACAGCCACGCTCAACCTTCCGAGCATCCAACACCTCCCTCAATGGGATATAGACACAGGTCCTCCATCCCTAACTCAGGCTACTAAAGCTGTCACCAATCTGAAACAAGGCAAAGCAGCGGGACCTGATGGAATGACTCCAGAGGTATTTAAGTACGGTGGAGACAGTTTACTGTCAGCATTGAGGTACTATACAGCGTCTGGAAGTCAGAAGAAGTCCCATCGGGCTGGTGTAAGTCACTGATTATCCCGATATACAAGAAGGGAGACAAGTCTTCCTGTGATAATCACAGAGGGATTAGCTTGACTAATATAGTATCTAAAGTCTTAGGCTCAATAATCATGCGTAGAATGAGTGGTGCTCGGGAGGAACAAACACGAGAGAGCCAGGCAGGCTTTAGCCCAGGAAGAGGGTGTATTGATCATATCTTCACCCTTCGACAGATTTTAGAACATAGGCATTCCTACCGGCGTCCAACAGTCGACCGAGAAGTTCTCTGGAGAGGCTTGACTGTAAAGGGAATTCCGAGGAAATACATTGCACTGATCAAGTCACTACTCGAACTCATACTGTCAGCCAGGTGAGGGCTTATGGCGAGTTGTCATCTGAACTGATGACGACTAGTGGTGTCCGTCAAGGACGCCCATTATCTCCTTTTCTATTCAACTTCATCATAGATGTGTTAATGGACTTAACCCTAAGTGACTTCAGCGACTCAGGCATTGGCTTGATTCCAGGGAATAATCTCTTTGACTTAGAATATGCAGACGATACAGTCCTTCTAGGCGAGGACGCTGACAAAATGCAAAGACTTCGGCACACCTTCAGCTGCAATCTGCGAATGTTGGCTTGCGATTTGCTTCTGTCAAATTCAGGTAAGATGATGCTACAGGACTGGGCTACACTGACTTCTAGGTAAGAAATAGGGAGTGACGCTGTAGAGCATGTTGACTACTTCACTTATTTGGGAAATACCATCAGCCAACGCCAACGGGTTGATCTCTGACGAAATCTCAGCACAGATATAGAGGGCTAGTTTCGCATATGCCAAGCTACGCAGACTCTGGAGTAGATGTGATATCCAACTGGGTATAGACCGAATGGCGAGTGTACTGCTTATCAGTCCGCTCCGTCCTCCTATATGGCTGTGAGAACTGGCCATTAAGAGTGGAAGGCATGTAAAGGTTAGATGTCTTCGATCGTAGGTGCCTGCATTCTGTCTCCAGGTGAATCGGTATAATATGGGGAGCAATATTGAGGTTAGGCATAGGTCGAGTGCTGGGTAGGTGGGAGGAGAAATCAACAGACAAGATTGTGAAGTTACATCGCTTGAGATGGTTAAGACATGTGTTACGTATGCCTAGCCATCGCCTTCCTTGGCAACAGGCAATGTTAGCTGACATAGAGTCAGGCTGGACAAGAGCTAGCGACGGTCAAACCAAAACATGACTTCATCAGTTAAAGAAATCCACAGCAGTTAGTTTAAGCCAGCCGCGTAGGAAGGTGTAGACTTCCTGACTGGTTGGGGTCCTCGGGACGGTAAAAACCAATGGTTGGAAACAATTGGTGATATGGCTCAAAATTGTTCTCAATGGCTGGCGCAGATGCATCCACTTCTTGTGACTTATGTTTTCCAATGAAACTGTTTTGTTCTTCGTTATTACTACTCCTTTTTCCCACACCTCTGTTTACTGTATCTATTATGCATTTCTTCTCTTGCTTTGTATGCTACATGGAGGGAGTGTGGCGACTTGAACTGCCGCACATATTTGCGAAGTTATATGTCGAAAACAGACAGTTGCTTGATTATTTGCACAAACTGAACGGTGTGCTGGTTAATCAGCATGACTGACACTAATTCAGCATCGTGCTCTTCTTCTACGCATTTTCAGTAGTAGATTAGGACCCTTATTGCGGACCTCCTAGCTGAGGTTCAGCATCCAGTGCTGCTTTTTAAGAAGGACCAGGGTTATTTCAGTTTACTCCTGGGTTCACTTCAAGGAGATAAAAATATTCATGTACCGTAAAAAGGCATTATTGACGCTTTTGTTATATTTTGTTTAGAATTGTTGTAAGGTTGGTCTTTTAAGCGTTGCTACCGTGTAAGTGATAAATCGTATTAGTCACCGTTACTCAAGATATGCTATGAACCAGTAATCTTCGGCTGATAAGACATAATAAATAAGACACAGACCGGTGTAATTTCTAACACTGACTTCCATTGCTCTCTCATCATGAAACAATCAACCAAAGTATGCTTTAAACTATCACTCTTAGGCATTTAAAAGGGGAAGAAAATGTAACAGCAGTTTAGACATACATGTTTATATTATGAATACAAACGGAAACAATAAGGTAATACAAACATTTTCACAAAAATAAGTGATTTACAGAGACACGTCGTAATCTTAGAGTTTTTTGCGGTTCATTTACTAGCAAACTGTCTAACCTTCTGGTGAACTCTGTTATTTCACTCAGTGTAGCATCGGGATTTCTTCGGTTCAGGCTGATAAGACAACATCTTAACCGTCCATAAGCATTCTGAAACACGTTGTTTGGTTGCAGTGTTAAGCGGGCGACTCGTGGAATGTTGTACTTGGTGTTATACTGACGTGTCCACCTCTCACTATTTCTTAGAATATACAAGAGTATCATTTAGGGAAATGGAACATATCACAGTTAAGATATCAAGTCAAGAAAGCCTCAACGACATGCGCACACGGCAAACTGTATGCACAGTATGTTCAACATGTACATTTAGCTTCA